CTGCTGCTGCACATTCTGTTTTGGGGGTTTGTCCCCAAACACTAACAACTTTCTTAAAGGAGAAGGGTTGTTGTAAATATTTAACACTGCTTTAGTAGTTCCTGGCACTGTCCTTTTGGGGTGTACTTCCAACGGTCAGGAAGCAGGCTTGGCACTCTGTCTGATATTTTTACTGCCTTTTTGGGGGCATGTGATCTTTCCTTAAATCTTGATGATTTCCTTAGGATATCTTGTGAGGTGATTGAGAGCAGTTGGTATCTTCAAATGGTGCAAATGAATCTAAAGATTGCTTCTCCTGGGTGGGAAAGTGTGCTTTGTCAGTTCACCGAGCACAGGAGTCTCTTATCTATGGGAATTCTTCAGTCCTCCAGGTCATGGTTGTCCCAAAGGTGCTTTTTTCAAGCAGCAACTGGACTTTCTTGGTTTCCAGAAAGTCCAGTTGCCTCTTGAAAAAGCATCTTTGGGACAGAACAGAGATGGTATTCAGCAAGTTCTGACCAGTTCTAGAGAACTGGCAGCAGAAATTTTGAGTAGTTCAGAGAACTGGCAAATACCAGCTCTGATTGGAGATTTTACAGTATCCTTCTCCTGCCATGCCCACCAAGCCATGCCCACAGAACCGGTAGTAAAAAAAAAAATTCCAGTGGTGGACAAGAGTCTCTTGCATTGCTTTGGCCAAGGCACATGATTGCTCACTGTTAGTAAGATTTTAAAAAAGGAGATGGGGTATGGATTTTCCTTCCAATTCATTTTAGTTTTTGTTAGTGTTTGGGGATACACCCCCAAGCAGAGTATGCAGAAGCAGTCAAGCCAGGCAGCCAAATGAGAGAGAGAGGCTGGGCCCAAGAGTATACACACACTGGAGACAAAAAACACTGTTTGTAGTTTTAAATAGTTGTTTAATTCATACAGAGTTTAAGCAGTGTCAATCAGTCCATATGTCATTATCCAATATATCCATCCAGTAACCTAGTCCATTAACTAGTCAGTACAATGTCTTTATCTGCTTGTTGAAATATCTTTTTCTTCCGATACCTTTCTCTGGAAGACAACGCTGAGTATGCACAGGATATCAGCTTACCAAGTAAACAGTCCTTTTGTTCAGCAAACTAGCCAACAAGCAATAACAAGCAGACGTCTCAAACAGTAGTAAACAGCAGGCAGCAGATAGCAGAGAGACCAAAACAGGAACCAGCGACCAGGACCAGGAACCAGGGACCAGCAACCAGTAACCAGACCAGTAACCAAACCAGGAAGTGTTACGTCTATCTCACTGCCTCTTATTGCTGCTTGCAACCGCACCCTTAATTATCTAATTACATTGCAGTTTGGTGCTTAAAGCTACAAAACACTTAAACCTAGGTTTACATATTTATTCAACCCAAACCTAGTTGGTGTATCCATATACCCAACAGTTTTCTCTCGAGGTGAGGCGAGGCCAGGCATGACAAGGAGTGGCTGGGAGGGGAGGGATGAGAGAATGGCATCAAGTTGGCCATGCCTACCCATTCACATGATCACCCGGCCACGCCTACCCAGCTGGTCATTAGGGCAGAGAACTACTTGTTAAATTGTTTGAATCCCACCACTGAGCACAACATAAACTTTGTGTGCCTCACTCTTCTAATTTAAGGAAGGATTTCCTCATAAACTGGAGGTGATCTGTCAGATTTTCTTCACACTTTAGCCTTACTCTATAAAGTGTTCTTGTGAGAGTTACTTTGCTGCTTTCAGTCTCTGTTACATGAATTCTGCATAAGGTAAGCCAGCATTTTCTAGCAGATGCAGAGGTGGGCTGATTCCAGTTTGGACTAGTTTGTCCAAATCTCTTGTTCTGATTCTATGTGGTTCAGAGAACTGGCAAATCAGACCACCGGCTGGCCCTGCCCATTTTTTTAACCATTTTCAGGTCATTTTTCACCTAAAAATGGCCTGAAAATGACCCCAAAATGGCCTGAAAACAACTCCCCAAATGCCCAAAAAACAGGCTGGTTTTGGGCCATTTTCCAGGCTGTTTTGTGGTCCATTTTTGGACTGATAAATGGCTTGAAAAGGGCCTGAGAAATGGCCTGAAAATGCCCCCAAAACAGCTTGAAAGCAACATGACAAATAGCTTGAAAATGGCCTGAAAAACAAGCAGTTTTGGGGCTGTTTTCAAGCCATTTTGGGCCCTTTCCAGACCATTTTTTGGGTTGATTTTGGCTGGAAAAATGGCCTGAAAACAGCCTGAAAAATGGCCTGAAAATGGCTTGAAAAATGACTTGAAAATGGCCCCCAAAAGTTGACTGTAAGAGGAAGAGAAGAGATGGCGTTTCTGTGTGCTCCCATTTCTGTGTGGCACTCTCCCTTGAATTCTAGCACTGCCACTGCCCCCTTCTCCCTCTCCCTCTCCTTTGCTGGGTGATCCCATGTGAACAAGGGGACTAGTAGAAAGGGGAGAGTGTGGGGTTGCTGCTTCTGGGATGAGGGGAACTGGGAACAACTGGGTCCAGCCCTCACCAGGGCCCAGCCTCACCGACAGTGGGCTTAGAAAGGGTAATGTGAGCTGCACTGACACCTGCGTCAGGCTAGACTGGAGGAGGAAGAATGTGAGCCAGGCAAAGGAGCGAACGAGGGGCATCTGCAGCATACTGGGGCTGGTGGACTTTCTGAGTCATTAAGGCAGAGAAATGGTTGTTAAAAAATTTGCAGCCCACCACTGAGCAGATGTTAGTCCATGCATATGTATTGCCTTTCTGTCAAGCACAAAATTATGTTAGCCTTTTCCCCTCTTTACTGCGATTTGCTAGAGGATTGCTTACCACTGTTCACAAATCCTCTTCTGCAGAAACATCTCCAGCTTTAGTCTCCATGAAAGATAATTTGTCTCATTAAGACAAGCCATTTCTGTAACAGATAGCATTGTGCTGTCTTTACAGGCCAATTGCCCTTGACCTCCCTCAGGTTCATGAAGAAACTGTTACCTCAGAGAAACTACTGCTGCTTTAGGGCAATTCTGGGCTCATAACCTGTCAGGGAATTGTGTAGCAGGTGTCTAAATGAAGTCAGTGATGCTGACACAAAGTTGTGGTTTTATATAAAAATAAATATATTTTACATCTATATTTACAGCAGACAAGATAGTCAGCAAACAGGAACTCCATGAGGTAAATCACAGAGCACACAGATCAGGGTTGCCAGATTGCAGCTTGGCTCTGCGGCCAAACTCAAGTCAAAATACGGCCAAATTCAACCAAATTATTTTCTTTCACGGCCAAATTTTCCAGCCAATTTTTTTTTATGCAATTTAACATGAGGATATATTGTTTTTTGTTTTTTTAACTGTAGGTCAGTGGTTCCCAAAGTGGGTGGTACCGCCCCCTGGGGGGGCAGTGGGATGCCTGGGGGGCAGTGGGATGCGCTGAGAGGCAAGGGGGCTGGCAGGGGGGCTCTGGAGGTGAGCGGCAGGGCACAATTCAGGGGTGAGAAAAAATCCCACCACCGCCACATTCGAGGCAAGGCCCCGCAGGATCATCCCATTGACCTGCACACTCTGGTGCAAGGAGCTCTGCCCCAAACGCAACATTGGGAAAGGAGAGCAAAGCCAGAGTGGCTTTGTCTCCTTTTCAAATATCCCACCGCCATTGTGTTTGGGGTGGTGGGGCAGCGCCCCCAACGCAGCATTGGAAAAGGAGAGCAAAGCGGCACATCCAAACGGAGGTGCACAAAATCCATGGGGTGAGCCTGAGAGAGGGAAAGAGAGAGAGAGAGAAAGAGAGAAGGAAGCAGAGAAAGAAAAAAGGGAAAGAAAGAAAAAGGGACAAAGAAAGAGGGGGGATGGAAGGAAAGGACATAAAGAAAAAGAAAGAAGGAGGGAGGGAGGGAGGAGAAAGATAATGAGATATCTAATCTAGTCCAATCACCTGCTCCAGCAGGGTTAGAAGGGAGTGTGTGACAGTCAGAAGGCTTCGGCCTGTGTATCGCGTAGTTTTTCAGAGGTTTTCAGACGATCTAACTGTCATTTTCATGTGAATATATTGTATTGAAAACCGGTATTCAGCCAAAATTTCGATTTCACAGCCAAGCAATTTTCATACGGCCAAATTTCTGGCCAAATATATTTGGCCGGAGACATGATTTTTTTCATGGCCAAACAGATTTCTATATGGCCAGATTTCTCGAATTTGGCCGGAAAAATGGCCAGATGGCAACCCTAACACAGATGGGAAAACAGGAAAGTCCCCCTTTATACCCACAGCAACCAATCACAGCTTAGATTGTCTCATGCAGGAGCCAGCTCTCTTCCACCAATCAGCTATAACTGTGTGTTCTGACTTATGGTACAACCCCTATTTTTCCAGCTGTTAAAGTTGAAAATCTTAACAAGCACTGTTTGAGGGGATCAAACATGGAGAGTGATTTATGTAGGTGAACGGAATTTTCATTTAGAGGTGTACTTGATAATTGATAATTGTCAATTATCTCTTGATAATTGATCTCTTTTGTAAACATATGTAGGAAGACCATAAATAATGAAATTCCATCCAGGTTCTTCAAGACATATGTTCACAGTTGGTTTTAAAGATCTATTTGTAATTATTCTGACCTTTCTCTGTAGGATTAACGGAGAGTACTTAAAAATATTCTGTGGGCACTCTCTGTCCTTTGGTAGACAGATTGCAAGCATTGTCAAGACAATCCAGAATCTACAAAAATTGTATTTGCATGGTGACTGCTTTAGTGACTATGAGATGAAGCTGCTCTGTGAAGTACTAAAATCCTCAAGGCTTAATAAGTTAAAGGAGTTACGGTAAACCATCAGTTTATTCTTTTCTATTTGATTTCTATATTGTTCATATGATTTCTTAGATTTTGTTTATTATGGAGACTTTTTAATTTAAATCAAATTAAGTGAAATATGTTACTTCTGATATTTTGAACTTATAATTTCCTTATTGATGAGAATGTATTTACTTATTCCATGTAAATTTTTTAATTTGCTTGTTTAAGAGAAACTTATTGACTTTTTCCCTTGTTTTCATTAGGAAAAGATCAATATATTTAATCTATTTCTTGTAGAAATATAAGATATAATAATTGAACTGCTGTGGTAATAATTAAAACCTTCAGATCCAGCAGCAAAATTATCACAATTGCACTCTTTCTCTCTTAGAATAGCTGAAAACTATGCTGGCATATGTGATGGTCTGATTGCCATGTTTTGATTTTGCTTATTTTTGGTTTTTACTATTGTAATGAGCTGACTAGAGTTGTGCTACATAAGATGGCTAGTCATAAACAAACAAACAAACCTACAGTAAGTAATGAGACTGGGTGTTGTATATGACCAAATATGGCCAAGGAGTGGAGTCAGCTAACAGACTCCATTCATTGGCCTAGTCGCTGGCGGGAAAAACAAAAGCCCGTCAGTGGCTGAAGCTTGGGACAGCACTGGCTACAAAGGCCAGCGCCTGCCGCAGCTGAGCGGCTTTTTCTTATATTAACAGAATAAAGGTTGCTTACCAGCTCCCTGCATCCTGCCTCTCCTTTACCGCACAGAACCCACAGAACACTGGTGATGAAGGTGGGATCTTGAACTGTGGAGACAACAAAGGACATTTGTGGGGTAGGCGCCATTTTCAACTGACCGATGACATGGCACAGCACACAACCAGCCTGGCACACCACCCAATGGCCATCCCATATGATCCCGCTAAGGAGAAATGGTCATCCTACATGGGCCGATTTAACCTACACCTAGAGGTAAATGGACTCCAAGCAGCCCCCGATGCGCAGAAAAGGGCACTCTTCCTAACATACTGTGATGTTGAGATCTATGAAATGGCCGATGCCCTGGTTGTGGACGATCTACAGATTGCATCCTGGGATGAGCTACAGTGCGCCCTCCGCAGCCACTACGGCCCGTCTCCATCTTATCTGGCCAGCCACTATGATTTCTACACATGGAGTCAGAGAGAAGGAGAGACGATCAACTCATTCATGACTGATTTACGGAGAATTGCAAAGAATTGCAGATTCCAAGACACTGAGGGGATGATCTAGGAACGAAGGATCCTGCACTACAAAAGAAACTCCTGGCCCACAAGGAGGTCTCTTTCCAAGAAGCTGTCGACGAAGCCAGAGCCACCAAATCATCCGACAACTCGGTGGCACAGATCCGAGGGAACGGAAGAATCTATGCAACCGGGACCGAGCGCCAGTAGTAGTTCAGTGAGTCCACCTCCGACTCCAGTGACGATGATGATGGCAGAGACATGCATAAGCTGAGGTCCAGTAAGCCAGGTGGGAAGCCGGGACCCCGAGAGTGTGGCGGCTGTGGCGGAAACCACCTTCTGCCTGTGTGCCATTTTAAAGACACAGTATGCCGGAGATGTGAGTGCAGAGGCCACATCGCAGAGGTATGCTGTGCGGCACAACCAACAAGCAAGCAGGGCCGATGAGCTGTGTTGCCTGCGAAACAACATGGCCACCAAGGGGGAGCATGGAAGAATTTGGGTGGGAGATTCAAAAAGAGGGAAGACTCCCGGGAAGAAGAAGCCCACTTCACATTCGTGGGCTACACGCAAGCCAGAGTGAGGCGCACCGACACATTTGAAGCAAACAAAATAATGCCCACGGTAAGGATCGAGGGCAAGCCTTGCCGTATGGAAGTGGACTTGGGCTCCTCCATTTAGATATTGTGGGACACCCTTAAAAAACTCATACCCAGCCGATGACACGAGCAATTGGAACCTCAAGCCATTATTTTAAGGGACTACCAGGGCCATCGCATACCGGTCCTGGGGAAAAAGACTGCATGCGTGGAGTATGGCACCTTTCGTGGAAATCTACCACTCACAATAGTAGACTGGAGGCTACCCAGTCTGATTGATGCATTGATGGGAGGGGGGCTCCCTCTAATTTTATCCAGTACCTTCCTCAACACACTGACCTCTTAGCAGGATTGTTTGGGGAGGAGTGGTGAAGTGCTCTTATAGAAGACTATTAAACTCATGTTCAAAAGTGGTACAATAAGAGCCAATATATAGGATGGAAGGTTTGTAAGCTAGTATGTAGAGCAAGAAAACTGCTGGAGAGAAGATTTAAGTCCTCCAATTTTGTATCCCATTGGGTCAGTTCTGCTATTACAGTGTTCAGGATCTCCAAACATCTAAACCTGATCTTTTGAATCTTTAGTTATTGAGCTTCATTGGGTTGTTGAAATTAGTTTTCTACAGTCTAAAGAATAGATCTGATTAAGTTTATTTTTCACAAATCTTCTTTTCAAGGTAGACATATACAGTGCATTTGGAAAGTATTCAGACACCCTTCATTTTTGTCTATTTTATTTTGTTTCTGCCTGATTCCACAGTTTCTTTCCCATTAATCTACTCTCAGTGCCCATAATGAGAAACTGAAAACAGATTTTTAGAAATGTGTGTAAATGTATTAAAAAGAAAAACCTGAAATATCACATTGGCATAAGTATTCAGACCCTTTACAAAGACATGTGAAATTTAGCTCAGGTGCCTCCCTTTTCTCTTGACAGTTGCTGGCATGTTTCTACATCTGATTGGAGTGCACCTGTGGTTAATTAAAATGATGGACATGATTTGTAAAGGCACACACCTCTCTATAGATGTCATAGCTGACAATGCACATAGTAGCAGAGCAAAAGCCATGAGGTCAAAAGAACTGCCTGCAGAGTTCAGACACAGGGTTATTGTAGGCACAGATCTGGGGAAGGCTACAATAAAATATCCACTGCACTGAAAGTTCTTAAGTGTGACCTCCATAATTCTCAAATGGAAGAAGTTTGGCACAACCAGGACTTTTCCAAGAGCTGGTCACCCAGTCAAACTGAACAACCAGGGGAGAAGGGCCTTAATAAGAGAGATGACCTGATGGTCACTCTGACTGAGCTCCAGAGATCCTGTGTGGAGATGGGACAAAGTTGCAACCCTCCACTGATCTGAGCTTAATGGTAGAGTGGTTAGACGGAAGTCTCTCCTCAGTGCAAAACACCTGAAAGCTTGCTTAGAATTTGAAAAAAAAAATCTGAAGGATTCTCAGACTGTGAAGAACAAGATTCCCTAGTCTGATGAAACCAAGATTGAACTGTTATGGACTTGGTATTGGACTAGCGAGGACTAAAAGTTGAGAGGAAGGAAACAAAAGCGGACTGTTGGAAATTAACTTTAAAGACACTAACTGGATTAAATAGAAAATTGTAAAATGGTGATATCTCTTCAGGCACTAAAAATGGAACCTGAAAAAATTAAGGAAACTTTACAAGAAAGAGGTAAAACTTTGGGCTTCGTTTTTAAATTTTTTGAAGAGGCGATTGAACAACAAAGTACAGAAGAAGAGGTGGAACAAATTTCAGAAGGGGCCATTTTTAATCACCATCAAGAAAAAAAGAATCCAGAAGGAAAGAGAAAAAGAATTGGGAATAAATATTGGAGGTCTGGGAAATTGAATAAAGAGGGAAATATCTGGAAAATCAAAAAAGTGGGGGAAAGAATCAGCAGAAATTCAAAGGGAAGAAGGTAGCTAAAAATAGAGAAGGGGGTTAAAAACTTGAGTGAAATAATAAATGGGGAAATGTTAGGGGAAAGAAGGGAAAAGAAACAGGATTTGGGAACAAAGGAATATGGGAATTTTTTTAAAAATGGGGGTAAATTTCTTACACAGAGATAATGGCTGAATGATACTGGGAGAGGGGATTCTACAAGGTGCTGGGGAATAATATAGATAAATTTGTAGTTGTGAAATGGGGACATATAAGATGGATAATAGAATTGTTACTTTTTGGCAATGCTCGCTTCTTTTATGTTTAAGAGGTAAATACAATAAATATATGGAATATGTTTATCAAATTTATGGAAATACTTTGAGGATTAGAATGCTGGTTTTCTTTTTGATTTCTTTTGGTTTAAATATGGAATAATTGAATATGTGTAATAAATAGATTGAAATAAATGAAATTATATAGGAGGAGAGCTGAAATGAAATTGGCATTAGGGTTTAGGATTAAATGAGTAGATAAAGATGTCCTTTTTCTTCTCTGAAATTGTAGATAAATTTTATGGAATTAAGAAATGGAAACCATGCAGAATCTGGTTTATATGTTATATAGCTTTAAAGGGGATTAGTAATTTTAAGTTGTAGGTAATAGAATGCTAAATATTTGATGTTATTTAAAGGGGGAAATAATGAATATGTAACTTTGAGGTGGTGCACTTAAATTGATATTAAAGGGGAGAAACCAATTTATAGAAGTGTTACTAATCTTAAGGATTATACAAATGTGACAATTACAAGTACTACAGTACAATAACTATGAAGTTATTATATGTGAATTAAATTATGAGATGAGCACTTGGAATAATATAACAAAATAGAAAACGCATAAAATATTATTAAGACTAGAAATTGAATATAAAAATTGAATATATAACTATGGTCATATTTGTATGTATATGTGGAACCTGTAATCATGCTGTTCACTAAAAAGAGATGTTAAAATGTAGAAAACTGAATAAAACTTGTTTAAAAAAAACAGTAAGACATTTAGTGGGTCACTATTCCATTTTTATTTTTAAATTTGATGACATCACTCTTCAACTCCTATTTTCTTTCATACTTTTTTACCTTCTTGATTTGTCCTAAAAGTTTATTATAGAACCTTAAACCAAAATATTCCTTGATGTCTTCTAGTAGTAAACTTTTTCTCTTGAATCAAAGTGAGCCCTTGGATAGATCCATCACTGGCTGCTCCACTCAGTATGGCCCTTTCAACTTATCCATTATTGCCTCCCCCCTCCAAATGCCATCTTGGACAGAGGATGAAATCATGGAGAAGATTTTCTTGGCTATTGCTTGGAAGGATCAACTGAGAACTAGGTTGGATAAATTAGGGAGGGGAAGGGGCAATACTCACTTTGAAAGATAAAAATATGAGAAAAACCAAGACTTTTGCCTGATTTGGACGGAAAATCATGCAGAGCACTTGAGTAACATGGGGACACCAAAGAAGAAACAATTATAATACTTTTCCTGAAATGGATTTTATGGGGATAGCAAATTCTTCTATTGACAACTAAAATATAGGGGTGTTTTTGTACCAGATAAAATGTACCTAAAATGAATGTGACCAAATAAACCTTGGAATTATCTTGGCTACATCAGATTATATTTGGAGGTCTGGGTCTGTACTCTGTATCCTCAAAGATGGTCAGATGTGTCCCTGCTCAGGCTGTTAGAGATATTACTGGGGATTTATCTTTTATTGGAGGATTAAAATAAGTTTTTCTTTTTCATTATAGGTTGAATGGAACATATATTATGCAGAATGGGGAATGGATGGAAATGGACTAGAGCCTCCCATGCAAATGTTTTTTCTTCATGCTTGCCTGTTAAATCTATTTTTATTTCTATTAAGAATATAGTCAGGAAGAGTTGGAATTTAATATATTTCAAGTGAAATTCTGAAGAGCTTCCTTTCAGCAACTATAATCTTATAGTTCTTATATAATCTATAAACTAATTTTTCTCTCTTTGCAGCTGAAAAATGCTACAAGAATGTAAACACACAAACCTTTTCATGGAAATGTGGACAATACATCCTTTTTTTACATTGTGAGGTATCTTCTTTTAAAATCTGAATAAGGGAAGGAAATATTGATTGATTGATTGATTAAATGCCATCAATGACTCCTAATGACCACATAGATTGAAACTATTTTGTTTTCAACCAAAGACAATATTTATAGCTCAGGGTTGAACTGTGGAGTCCTTGTGATTTCTGCGGTTGGTTGTTTACTTGCAAATGTTTCGGCTTCTAGCACTGAAGATGCTACATAATTAGGTAATGAAATGTCTGGGGGGAAAAAAACCAAGTTCAAGGAACACCAAGGACTCAACTTTTCTGTTTTATATGCTTTACCATATAGCTAGGGAAAAATTTAACATTCACAAGAATTTATTCAAATTTGTAAAATGAACTATAAATAATGTTATATATTCTTATATACATTATAATTCTTGGTAATTTTTTCCACATTATTACTGTCAAATTACTGTTACATTATTACTGTCATATCTGTGTTGTAATGAATCAATAAAATAACAAGTTTTATTTTAAGAGAATATAGAAAGAGATGTATGAACCAACTTTGAAAGTGTTATCATTGTTGTGCTTATGTAATGATATCTTTCAATCTCATTTTTGTTTTTTCTCTCTACAAACTCACCCACCCATCAGGATTCATAGCCGTTGTATTTCTTGCTTTTGTGGTGTACTGAGACATTATTTTCTTTTATTTTCATTTCTATGGTTTTACTCTCGGAGGATTCCTGAAATTCCAGTTAAAAAGCTGGTGTCAACACAAATCTGACATAAAAGATTTAGAAGGATATTTATGCCATGGTTGTTGATACAAGATTTCAAAATAGATAAAGCCAAAATTAGCAAAAGGTCACATAATGGAGTGAAGTTTAGGAGTAAGAATTCAATGATAGTAAGCAGTCTGCTGTCAGTGGAAATCCAAAGGGAGAACCAGTGAAATTTGGAAGGAAACATCAATAACTAAGCAGCCATTCAGATAATGTGACAGTATACTTATGTCAGAAAGGGCTGAGCTGCATGGTCAGATATCCTAATCAGGTACTAGGACCCCAACCAGAGAAGAGGATGAGATAGTTACATCAATAGCACTTAAATTTATGTAACTTTATATAGTGCTTTATAGCAGTGGTCACCAACCAGTGATCTGTGAGAAAATTTGGTGGTCCACGGTGAAATTTCACCCCCAAAGCACCCCCAAAGCAATTAATCCAGGCTGCGCGAGAACACACACCTGCACTGCCCACATGGCCCGTGGGAACACAAGGCTTGTATTGCTTGCATTGCGAACACCACGAGGTAGTGAGGGGAAGGCAGAAAGAGCAGAGGGGGGAACTTGCCCCATGCGGCCCACATGCCTTGCGTGGCCACCAGGCTGCTTTTTTCAGCTTCTTCTGCTTTTGGCTGCACGCAAGGAAAGCAGCAAAAGTCTTTCTTTCTCTCCCCAAAACTCTGCCAGAAATGAGTCTTTGGGACCCTGCAAGGCATCCTGCTCCAAGAGACTGCATTGGCAAAGACTCATTTTTGGCAGAGTTTAAGGGAGAGAAAGAATGACTTCTGCTGCTTCTGCTGCTTTCCTTGCATGAAGCCAAAACTCACTCACTCTCTCTCTCTCTCTCTCCCCTGAGAATGGGGCTGGAGACGGTATCCTGTGATCCCAAATAAAGAATGATCGATTGGTAGATAAATGGGGTGGAGAATTTTCCTGCAGACTGTTTTTGAGATTTTCCGTCTCTCTCTCTCCTCCCCCACTCCTTGAGAACAGAGCTGAAAAGCAGGTTAGTTAAGGAATGTGGCTGCCTTGGAGTGGGAGGGGTGGGGTATGTGAGGGACCTCTGTGTGTGTGTATCTGTGTGTGTGTCTGTGTGTGTGTGATAGAGACAGAGAGGGAGACGGAGAAAGAGAACATCACCACCAGCCTTCTGAGGTTAGATCAGATCTCTCTCTCTCTTTCTCTCCCATCGTCAGCAAGCCACCACCAGTCAAAATTCATATTAGTGGTCCACGGGATGGTGCTCCCTGAGGTCCAAAAAGTTGGTGACCCCTGCCCTAACTCAAAGGTCTTCAAACTTGGCAACTTTAAGACTTGCGGACTTCAACTCCCAGAATTCCTGAGCTAAAATGACTGGAGGAGGAATTCTGGGAGTTGAAGTCCACAAGTCTTAAAGCTGTCAAGTTTGAAGACCCCTGCTCCAAATCATGTCACTCGCAAGATCAGGCTTGAGTTGGAGACTGGGGTGGGTGCAAATGCACAGTGGCCTGGAGGGTTGCAGCCGCTGCCCCCACTTGCAGGTTGCATCACCAAGTGGGCTTCCCCCCCCCACCTCACCAGCTGCCAGTGGGTGTCACCAGCAATCTGGTCAGTGAGCTTGATCACCCTGCTGATGGTGAAGAAAAGGCCCAGCAGCACACGGAGGGCAGAGAAGAACAGCGGCATCATTGCCTGTTTCTCCCACCTTTCCTGCCTGTTGGTGGCCAGCCAGAGGAGGTGGAACTGGGGGGGGGGAGAGAAGGGAGTCTGGGAAAACAAAAGCCACTGCAGATGAAGCAAGTAGGTTCAGCATGCCCCCCGCCCCGCGCCTGCCTGCTAACTATCCAAGCAACTCTGGCCAGCTTAGTGAGACATAAGAGAGCACTCCCACACCTGTGCATGTGCGGAGACCTGCAGGGTGATGCCTAGGCTCCAAAAGAGATATCGGAGTTGGTGCACTTTTCTTGCTTCTGTTGCAGCCATCTTGGGCAAGACGAGTTTGGCGGCGATTGAACAAACGTCTTCCAGCTCTTCAAGATTGAATTTAAAAGCACCCCATGGAAGAAGCCGAGAAGCTGAGAGCAAGGCCGGGGCATGTCCCTCTGCAAGGAGTGTGAAGGGAGGCAGACACCACCCGAGGAGGCGAAGCCATGGCTGTCACCCAGGAGGGAATCACCATGGAGGGACATGTTACATGCCCCTGTTGCCCCTTCAGTCACTATTTTTGCTCTCAGCTTCTTGGTTTCTTCTATGGGGCACTCTTAAACTCAATCTTGAAAAGCTTGCAAGTCCCCCTCTCATTGGGAAACAGGCTCCAGCCAGCGGCAGAGAAGCAGCTAAGTTGCTCTGTTTCTCTCTTCCACTAGAGCCCATTTCCCAATGGGACCCCTCCCATTGTAGGCTTTTTGCTGTGCTGGGAAAGATTATCTCGTGCTCTCAGCTGGAACACATGGAGAACTCGTGTCAACTTTGGCCAGGTCAACAGCTGCTTCCCTCACCTGCTCTTGCTGGGGGGGCGAGAGAGCCTCTCCCGGCAGAGCAAAAAGCTTGCAAGTCCCCCTCCCTTTGGGAAACGGCTCCTGGGCAGCAGAGAGAAACAGGATTCAACTGGGCTGCTTCTCTGCTGCCCAGGAGCTGTTTCCTGATGGGAGGAGGACTCACAAGCCTTTCACTGTGCTAGGAAAAACTCTCTTGTTCTCTCAGCTGGAGCAGCAGGCGAGAGAAGCAGCCTCTCCTCATGTTCCCCGGCAGAAGGCAAGTGGTGGTGGTGGTGGGGAAAGGCAACCAGCAGCAGCAGCAGCAAAATGCAAGTGGGGGGGGGGGAGGAGCAAAACAAAAGGCAAGTGGTGGGGGGGGAAGGCGACCGGGATTTGCAGAGTCTCACTCACCCAGGGAGATCAGATCAGGCAGGGCTGCAGCGGAAGGCAGGCAGCAATGGATGGCCTGGCGGGTAGGCAAAAGCAGGCTGCAGGCATGTTGCACATGCATGATAAGGACTGACCGGGCAGGGAGTGGAGAAGTGAGCAGAAAGGGCGGGGTCAGCCAGAGGCCCGATTTACCGGTTCTCTGAACTACAGAGAATCGTAACAACCGGTTCTACTGAACTGGTCCAAACCGGTACAATCCCACCCCTGGGATGAATGCTGTCTATTTTTTAGGAATGCAACCTCCCTAAAATGTAGGGCAACCACAAAAGGGCCAAGTTCCTTGAAACTTTATCTAATTATTCCCAAAATTAGACTGGAGAGATTCCTGTATTATAGACAGAAAATAATAAAATAGTTAGCTTGCACTCTGCGCTTGTCGGTCTGGTTCTTTGCCTCTGACATGGCTTCTAACAAGCAAAGTCAATGAGGAAGCAAGCAGTAGGCTGCAAATGGTGATTACATGAGTGTGAGATGCTTCAACTGTGGGTTTGCATAATGATGGCAACTGGAACTGCCAAAATTGTTGTCATAAGGTGGCACAGTCACATGACATCATAACTTATGATGGTGTCACTTAGCAATTGAGTTCCTGGTCCCAATTATACCATCAGTAAGTGAGGACTATGTACTAAGTTCTGGGTGTATATATTGATATAAAAAATAACCTCATATCTGAATAGTAAATGTAGTTCCAAAACTGAGTTAATCACAAATGCATTTATTGACCATAATTTTATTCATGGGCTTATATGACATTCAGAATAACAAAATCTCTTATTTTAAATAAAACCTGAACATATTAACACTTAAACCTTAAAAGATTTGGAAGGTTGATCAGTTTCTCACTTTCTTTTATGATTTATACTGTCATTATTCTGGTGATCTGCATACTAATTTGATTACCATATTTTTCAGCTTTTAAAATGACATAAAAATTTCTAGTCATAAGAACCACATTGTTAAACTGGACATTAATTTCCTCCCCTCTTCTCTTTAATGACTCCATTTCCTTTCTTTTTAAAATGCACAGTAAAAAAAGGAAAATTAAAATGAAGAGGAATTGAATGTGTCTTTGCAGTAGACTTGTTGGCCAAATCCTTCCCATCCTGCCATCTGTAGCTCAACACCTGCTCTTCCATGAAAGAGCAACATATAAACTCATCAATTTTGTCTGCTCCTTCTAGGCGTGAGTCCCACCCCTTTGTCATTGGCCAGGCAATGGGGTTTTCAAGGCAATGTTGACCAGTGATTCAAAGGAGAAAGTATCCCAGAAGAAATTCTGAAAAGGAGTTCAGTTTGGAAATAGATGTGCAGCCATTCCTGCTCTCTCCCCCAAAGATCAAAAGAGGGTGCTATGCTTTAGTTGAGTCTCTATTCCCCCTATCTGAAGCCCATCACTCTATTCAATTCCCCTTACTTGACATTCTTTCCAAAGACAACAGTGTCAGAAACAAAATAATAAGACTTTTGCAATGGTACACTTCAGCATTTTTTTAAAAT